CCTACCATAGGAGTCTAGGTCCTTTAGACTAAATTCCTTCTTTACCACACATAGAGGCAAAGCGGCATGTAATATTGAAAGCCCAGTGGGGTGAATTTGGGTCCAAGAGTCTACCAGCCTTCTTGGGATAGCTCTGCAGAACTCAATCATCCTGTCTCTACATAATATAATTATATTCTTTGGATACAGCACCCAGTCCTCCTTCCTGCTCCCATCTTCTCAGCCCTAGAAAATTCATGTCAAGCACGTGTGTCCTGTGTTTGTAGTTCAGACTCTCCTCCAGCAGGAATGAATTCAGAAACCCTCCTCCCCTCCCCTCTCCCAGCTCCCCATATCACCCACCTTTCAAAAGCACAAGGGAACCAATTTTGCTCTTTTCCAGCAACCCAAAATTTTGATAAAAGGTACAACAAGCATGAAACAATGAAAACTGAAAATGCTTCTTTCAATACATGCACTGCAAATATGCATGAAAATATCCCAGACCATCTATGCATGCGGTTTCAATACTTTAAAAAGTTTGAATAAACTCTAAAATTTTGCTTTTGCTTTAAGTTAGTTTGGTTAGTGGCAAAAAGCAACATGTCTGATTGTCTGTGGGGGGGGGGGGGGGGGGCAGAACAAACCAATATTCAACTAAAATATGTGGGGAGCAATAAATTGTATTTTCTTGGAGACCCACGATCTGCATATAAAGAACACCACCAGCCAAATGATCATCAATACTTTCTAAGTCTGCTAGTTGCTGTACAAATATGAAAAATTCTAGGATGCATCTAAAATGCATCCACTTTGGTCTCAACTCAGTCAACTGTGGGCCTGACTGCCTGACCACCTGTACAGGTATGTGCACATCTGAGGAAGAGCACCGACAGTAACTCCGTTCTGGGGAACCAGATCTACTGCAAAGCTGTTTCTCAGGGCTTCGGTTATTGGTTTTGAGTGGCCTTTTTTCCCCATTAGCAGATCCTGGTAAGAAAAGAGGTGTATGCTCCAGGAAAACGAAGTCCTACCACAGGTAACACCACCACTGGCTTATATCCTTGTTTGAGTAAGGAGGTACACATTTGCCCAAACAAAAAGGCCCCAGGAAATCAGGCAGTACCTCAGGCTGAATACTACTATGCAGAAATAGTCTGAAGTCTCAATTCAAAATCCTCTGAAGTCCATGCAAGAGAAAAAGAGAACTTCCCAACAATGTCAGCAAGACTTTCAAGAAACACTGAAGCACTTGAAGTTAATCTCATGGAATGGGACAGCACTGCTTTGCAGAAAGGGGTCCTGTAGTGGCAGAACAGCGGCTGGAAAAATCTACCTTTAGCAGAGTAAACGAGGAGCAGGGTTTGCACAGACTGAGGCAGCGAGTCCAACACTCACAAACCACTGTGAGAGAATATTCTCCTGCATCAGCCACAACATCGCTGGAGAACAAGATACTTTTAAAAGCAATAATTACTCTGAAATACCTCAGTCTGCCTTGGCTTGCATAGTCCTGTTTTTGAAGAAATGCATCTGAGAAAATACAGAGCTAACACAGAATA